TTACACGAGTTCGGACGAGTTGGCAATACCCCTCTCAATATTGGAGGCTACCCGCCGCAACGCTGCAACCGTTCGGTCCACCAACGATTTAGCGTTTTTAGCCTTGCTGCACTAGTCCAATTTCAAAACGAAGGAGAGTTGGAAACGCACTTTTTTCGCAATTTTCAAGCTATCTGGAGTGGATTTTCGGGGTCAGCGCAATGGATGACCCCATGTAAGTGCAAATTTCATTAGGTCAAAATCTGCCGGGCCACTGCCTATAAGCACGGGCTTGTACGATTGTAAGTGGGTTGTGGCTTTCGAGTGTGACGCTCAAGTCTCGCTAAGTTTTGTTTATAGAATTGTTCCGAGGCTTCCCTAGCGTGGACTTCGGTCGTGTATCCCATTCAAAAGTCTGAATCTGTGACCTGTTAAAAAGCAGAGCTAAACAATGCGGATTGTTGCAAATAGTAAATGTATCAAGCTCAATGTAGTTTTTCTGGATACATTTGTGAGAGCGAAGCAGCTGCACAAACGATTTTACATGTAGGCAAACATCATCTGCTTGTCTTTCCATCAATTACTCATGCCATTTTTGCTTCTGCGGCAGTTTTGTGCCACGTCAAATTAAAATCCTTCATTTATTTTTTTTCAAAAAAAAATCATCCCAAAAGCATTGCTTTATCCTCAAGGTTTCGACGCATTTCATGTTTGTTAGCTCTCTCTTCATTTTTAGATGCAACATGTTCAAGTGAAGAAGACACTCAATGACTATTTGAAGACAACATCGAAAAGGCTCAAAATAATCGATGCGTACATGCTCTATATTTTCCTGACAGGGATTATACAAGTAATGCATTTTGATTGAAAAACTCAAGCTTTTCTGAACTGTTTAACAGTTGATATACTGCCTTCTTCTCGATCGGACGTCTCCATTCAAGACATTTTTGTCAGGATTCATCTCCACAGTGACATGTTTTGCGCTTGCTTGTGAGTTGTATTTCACATGTACTTTTATTTTATTCAATAATCCTTACCAAGAACAAAAAACACACAGTAACTCATACCTAACCGCAACTAAAGTCCATTATGTAGTTTGGCTACAACCTTTTGAAACCATGATGACAAGACATGGGTTAGTGAGAAATTTGAAACTGATAGTCTTGGGAAAGCATAAAAATATAATGGTCGTGTTTGGTTTAACTTGCACATGACCAGCTGATCATAGCAATACAGATATCTTACTAGCATCTGTAAATTTCATTCAATCTGAATTTCTTCAGTTTTGAAGAGATACCATCACTTCCT